TGTGGTGCTTAGAAAAAGTGTCTTTAGGGGGCAAAAGGAAAAAGAAATTAGCTAATGTGTCATTATCATTAGCCTGTGACTTGATCACGAAACAACAATTAAAAAGCATTCACACCTGTTTTGGAATTACCTGCCTATTTGTGTAAGAAAAAAGAATCATAAAACTGGCAAAACAACAATAAAATAATGTCAGAAATCATATTAACAGGAAAAAGGGGAAGGAGATGTACTTTGAACCTCCAGCTCCTTCACAGCTCATCATTTCTTGATGCCCTTTGCCAAGCTGGATGCTGAAGGAAATCTAATGATACACAAAGCCTCATTGCCAGATACTTCATTACTTCTGCAATCCATTAGTAGCCTTAATGGCCTATGCCACTGGAATAAGTATGGAAATCCAGTCCCCCAAGAAAGTACAGTGCTCTATAAATCACACTGGCCTGAGGATTCTCTCAGCCCTTGACACTGAAGAATAGGTGAAAAAAAATCATTGTACTTCCTTAACTCCCTTGTACTAGAAGCTGTCAGCATGAGTGATGCCTTTTCACTTTTTAACCCTGTAACCTCATGGTTCTCAGAGTGTAAGCTGTGGATCAACAGCATCAGTATCACTGGAAACTTGTTAAAAATGCAAATTCAGTGGCCCCACCCAGATGTGCTAGAACCTTGGGGCAGAACAGAGCCACTTCTCTTCTTGACATCAGCCTTGCCAGAACTGTCCTGTCAGAGATACCCACTAACAGCTTTTGGCTGGGCGATCAGCTCCCTGGAATCCAGTGCTCTCTAACCTTCTTTCATTCCCTTCCCTACAGAACATACACTTTTCAATTTTCAGTTTTTCCAATTTTATTTTTTAATTTTATTATTTTATTTTTCAATTTTTATTTTTAATATATGTTTTTATACAGAAACTTCATTTATCTTGAGTTTGGGGTTGATTCAAGGTTTTTTTTCTACTTCCCGCTCTAGCCTTGACTCTCAGATGAGACAGGAGCTCTGCCCTGGCATATTATTTACTTTGGTTTTCTAGTAATTCTCACGGCTTTATTCTGAAGGCAAAATCAAGGCTGGGCGTGATGGCTCATGCCTGTAATCCCAACACTTTAGAAGGCCAAAGCAGGCAAATTGTTTGAGCTCAGGATTTTGAAATCCAGCCTGGGCAGCATGGCAAAACCCTGTCTCTAATATAAAATTTACAAAGAATTGTCAGTTTCTCAGTAGGCTAGGGATAGAGAAAACGTTAACTAGCCCACCTGTCCTACAGCAGTGTTTACCAAATCTTAGTATGCATAAAGATTTTTTTTTTTTCCTTTTTTTGATACAGAGTCTCACTCTGTCACCCAGACTGGACTGCAGTGCTGTGATCTCAGCTCACTGCAACCTCTGCCTCCTGGCTTCAAGTGATTCTCCTGCCTCAGCTGCCTGAGTAGCTGGGATTATAGGTGCTCACCACAACGCCTGGCTAATTTTTGTATTTTTAGTAGAGACGGGGTTTTGCCATGTTGGCCAGGCTGATCTTGAACTCCTGACCTCAGGTGATCCACCTGCCTCAGCCTCCCAAAGTACTGGGATTGTAGGCGATTATGAGCCACCACTCCCAGCCTAAAGATCTTTAGAAACATCATGTTAAAAACATTCTGAGTGGCACTGTTTTTAAAATAATTACCTCATGTTGACCCAGGGTTTCTGCTTCTTTTAATTATGGATTCTTTCTTTTTTTTTTTTTCCTTTTTTCTTGTTTTTCTTCTTTTATTGTGGATACTTGGTTTGGGGTGGCTCTGAGGCTTTGGGGCTGAGAATTATTCTTATTCCTTTGGTATCCTTTGCCTAAAGGATATTCTTTGCCAAACACTTGTTTTGCATTAGTTCTTATCTTCTTTGGTTTCTCTGTTGGTTTAATTCCACCTGTTTCCCATGATCTAGGAATTCCATAAATTTTCTGGTCCTCTGATGGCACTGTCTCTTATTTGTCAGTGCTGTTTTGGCTTCATCCTTTTTCCTACATAGTTATGTAGGGGTTGGGCCTGGATAGATGGTAGCAGGGATTGAGTGTACCACCTTGATCCAGTCCGTCTTTGCTTTTCTTAAAGCTTTCTTCCCTCTGTTGTCCCCAGGCATGATTCATTCATTGTACCATGCCTGTTCATATTATTCTAGTGCCAGGTAGCGTTTTGTTCACTTCTTTCATAGCACGTATTTTGTTGTAACATTCTTAAGTGCACATAGATGTCTTAAACCTACTAGATTCCATTCTGTAGCCCAGGTATCTGTAGGCATCAAATTCCAGAGATTTTTCTGCCAGGGTGGAAAAAAAACCATTTTAGCAACAAGCAAATGAAAATGGGGGTCTGAAATACTATGTTAACTGTCTTACAGGATGCATTCACAACGGCTCCCCTCATAGGTTTTATGGGGTTCTGTGTCTCTGCAAGAACCTATGTGATGTTTAAGTCTTCTCAACTCTGAATAAACATCTTGCAAAGCATTGAGTTGTAATAGTTTACTGTTAGGTTGACTTTCTAAGGAAACTGTGGTTCTGTCCTTAGAAGTCACCACTTCTAGTCCTCCTGGAATAGGGCAAGTCTCTCCTTAGATTCCAAGGATTGAATCCTCTCTGGGCTTAAGTGTATTCTGTCTTCTTACTCCTTTGGTGAGGAAGTTAATGGTGATGGAGGTTGGGAGATACCAATGCTTTAATTAGCTAAGTCACAACACTCTGTCCTACTCTTAAAAGATCTTATTTAATTAGGAAAATAAGACATCATTTCACCTTTTATATACCTGTCAATATCTTAACTTATTCAAACACTGACCTCTATGTTGTATAATTAGACTCTTAAAAGATTGAAAATGCCTAGGGCTCCTAATAGGAGTTTTTGCTTTTGTATCTGCCATCACATTTCAAGTATTTGGAACTGACAAAAAGATACCAAAATACTAAAAATTACAAACAATGTAATGAAACTGATAGCATGGATTTCTAAGAGATACCATGATAGAATATTAAATCGTGCTCTTAGGCAGATTATGATGTCTTTTTAGTTTTATGGTTCTCTCTGTCTGTGTATTTGTGTGTGTATATACATGTGTGTGATATTTTATTTTTATTTTATTTTATTTATTTATTTATTTATGTTATTTTCATTGAGATGGAGTCTTTCCCTGTCGCCCAGGCTGAGTGCAGTGGCACGATCTCCCCTCACGGCAAGCTCCACCTCCCGGGTTCACGCCATTCTCCTGCCTCAGCCTCCCGAGTAGCTGGGACTACAGGCGCCCGCCACCACGCCTGGCTAATTTTTTTTGGTTTTGTTTTATATTTTTAGTAGAGATGGAGTTTCACTGTGTTAGCCAGGATGGTCTCGATCTCCCGACCTCGTGATCTGCCTGCCTTGGCCTCCCAAAGTGCTGGGATTACAAGCATGCGCCACCGCGCCCAGCTGTGTGTGATTTTTTTAATCAGTTAAGCTGTATCCTCAATCTCCACTTAAAAATGCTTAATTATACATCGAATCTCGATGTATAAGGAAATCACATAAGTACTTAACGTGTAGGGTTCTTATGGGGACTAGTGAGAAGTAACACTTAGATCATGAAGGGCCTTTTATAAGCTTTGCTCTTCCACCTAATGCTTTTCCTTTTTTTTTTTTTTGGAATGACTTGGAGATAAAGAGAAACCTTTAATTATATGAAGGATATTAAGTACGGTGGTGGTGACATGAGATTCATGTTGTAAAGAATCACTCTGGCAGCTTTGGGGAAGACAAATGGAGATAGAATGAAATAAAGGATGGAGATACACGTTGGGAATCCATTAGGATGCTGGGCAAGACACTATGGACGGAGGCAGTGGCAGTTGGTATGGATGGTAGGGAGAGATCAGGGTAAGATTAAGAGACAGAATCTAAAAGATTAAGTCACTGATCAGATGTCAGGACATGAAGAGTTAGGAGTTAAATGCACATTGGTTCTTGCAAGTCTCTGATAAAATATTAGTTTTTAGAAGGGTTTGAGTTTAAGTACCTTTATTGTCCCAGGAAGGAAAATCTACCTGTAAAAGAAGAGCACCAACATTTGATCAGATTTCAGACCTTTTTTACTCTTCGGAATGAAAATTTGAGCTTTTGATCATTGTTTCTTCTGCTTTCCAGAGCTGACCCTGTGTTTTTCTACAGCCATTTTTTCCTAACCCTCGAGTATTAGTTCACAACTTACATTTAGTAAAGCTGTTTTTCTCTATCTCTCATAACAAATGTACTGATAATGTTTAGGGCTAATTGTATGCAATTTACTTTTTGAATTGTGGTAATCATTATTGCTGTTTTTATTTTCATCTTCTCTTCCGCAGGCATCATCAGCTATAGATATGCAACCAAATTATGCCCTTTGGGGTGCTTTTCAATTTTCTCCCTTTGGGAGGCATATTTTTTTTGTCAGTCATGAAGGGTTCAGATTTGGATTATTAAACACTAGTTTCCACATTGGACCATTTAACACTTTACATTTCCTTGTCTTTGCAAAACTTAACTTGCCCCTATGCTGTTTGGGTGTTTTTGAAGACCACATCTAATTTATGAAAGAATGACCTGTCCTCCAAACCCATATTCTACTTCTTGTTGCACAGAAAGACCTGCAGTACAGGAGGGTAAAACAGAAGTAGCTTCAGCATTCATGGATTATTTATAGGAGCACCTCTGGGGTCTTTTCCTGAGCTCTGTGCCTACGGGAGTATGTGCAGAAGTGTTTGGCTTTCCTTGCTACAAGAAATAGTTAAACATATGTCTGGTAGTCTGTGACCATAGCAGTGTGCTGCTTTTAAAGTAAGTAGATTACGTTGCCACAGATGCTCTCACCACTAGGGCCCCTGGAGGGTCAGGACTTATTGATGTAATCAGTTTTTTCTTTTTTTTTTTTCTTTTCTAGTAGCTATTGTTCTGTAAATTGTGGGAACTGACTGGGTTACAGAATGTGAATTGATGTTCTTCTCTGTTTTAACCTTTCAGAAATGCATCTTCTGCAGACACCGGGTTAAGAGGGTCTCTGGAGCCTGCATCCAGTGTTCCTACGGTCGCTGCCCGGCCTCCTTCCATGTCACTTGTGCCCATGCTGCTGGGGTACTGATGGAGCCTGACGATTGGCCTTATGTGGTGAACATTACATGCTTTCGACATAAGGTCAACCCCAATGTGGTAAGACATGCCCTCCCTTCCTCAGTGCTAGGACCGCGTCTGGATTTTCTCCTGTTTTAGACTACCTCCCAGACAAAATGTGCTTTATTCTGTAATATTACTCATTGTTGACATGTCTGGACCGTGAGTTCCTTGAGGGCGGGGATTGCACACTATTATTTACTGATACTTGCCTAGGACCTGTCAAGTGTCTGGTGCACACTAGACACAATAAATCTGTATGAGTTGAATGAGTGAATGAACAGGTGAATGCAGAAAACTCTTCATGCCTGTTCTGGTGTTGGATCTGTACACAGGGCTGCTGAGTTTGGTTGTACACATTGTGCACTGCCCATATCCAGGATGAGAGTGAAATCATTTCTGCGAGGGGATCACCACCTGAGATTATGTAGTGAACAGTCTATGAAACTGTACACTGTGGTCTTGGGATGTTGTTTTATCTCTTTTAGAAGAAACAAAGAGCAGCGGCACAGTAAAGGAAGAGGTAGGATGGCCAGGAGCTGTTGGGACTTTGCTGCCTGAGATGACATATGTGAGGGACAGCCTGGGGCTCTGGAAGGAGTGAGGATAGTCTCATAGAAAAAAATAGAAAAGTAGAGGAGAAATATAGAGAACAAATGTTTTTGAGCTTATTTCTGGGAAAAGTGTTTGCAACCAAATAACATGAATTTAGCCATATTTCTGTTGACCTGTCCTTGGAGAATGAAATCTTTCCTCTGGTTTAAACACTTAGAAATATGCCAGTGTAGGGATAGTTGATATGTCTTTGTTAGCTTTCCATTTCACCATAATTGTTTTTGGCTACCAAATAGGAGGCTAAAGCATTGTCTAGATGCTCGGCTCTGCTAACTTGCCGCACTTTGTTTTCCCTGAGAGACTTGGCCACAGGCTATTAGCAGCCTAACATGCTTGTCCTATGTCCCTAATAACCTCTTGTGAGCGGCCTGCCAAGTCATCAGCATTGGCTTGTGGAGTCACACACAACAAATCTCCCAGCTCTTTGTAATGCTTTCAGCAATTTCCATTGACGTCTTGAGAGATATTTGATGTTTGTGGACTGGGGCTCTGTGCGGATGTGAGTGGATGCACAAATGTACAAAATGATGTCACCAACTGTCACATCTATTTTGTCTTATTTTTTCATTGTTTCAGGTTCCAAGTTGCATATTCATTCATGCCTTTTCCATAGTTTCTTGAGTTGATGTCCTTTTGCTAAGGATAGTATTGTGTATCCAGTAGAAAATACATTTTAGCAACTTTTAAAAAATATAGTAATAACACCTTACATGACTGTGTGCAGTCAACAGGATTACCTCATTAGAGAATGTATATGAATGCATTTTGAGATGTGAACAAGTTCATGACCTCTGAAGTCAGAGTAGTTGGTGTTCACACTTAGATTCTGCCAGTAACAGACTGTGCAACCCTGTGCGAGTTCTTATTTCTGAGCCTCAGCTTCGTCATCTGTAAAACATGGTATCCCACCTCACCATGTTGTTTTCAGTTCACAGCACAGAGTAAGCACTCAAAAAATGAAAGTTGTATTGCTACTACTACTTCTACTGCTGCTGCTGCTGGCGCTACAATCTTATGTGAACTGGGCCACGTGAGTAGTGTTTTTCCTGTTTTGAGGATAAGAAACCTAAGTTCAGAGAAGTTTAATTCCTTGCCCAAATAGATGCAGATAATGAGTGGCAGGTGCTGGAATGTAAATGCTTTTTTAGCTCATACTCTATTATTTGGTGAATTCCAAACCTCAAACAGCGCTAGAGGTGTTCATCTGAAGCTTTGCTTGGGATCATGCATTACCATTTTAATTTTCCAAAGCCCTGTGGTTACTGATGATTATATTGAAGTTGCTATTAAAGAGATCCAGGTGTTTAATCAGGACTCATTCCTCTTAACTCTGGTGTGTGGTTCAGTCAGGTTTAGGTTACTAATGTGTTTCCTAAATGATGATGAAAAAGAAAATATTTGACTTTGAGGTGATTTAGAAACTACTATCTCCTACAGATCCGCTTTCAGCTTGGTACACTTTGTAAAGACTGGGGAAAACATCATGTAATTTACAACATTACATGAGGCAGCTTTTCCTGATGACGGAAAAATTTTCGTGTTCATAAATTGCCTTTGCTACATTTTCTGAGAGAAGCACTATTAGCACTCTATTTCTGAAGTATATTTCTAGTAGCTATTTCTTATCCATTCTTCTTCCATGAGACTCCAAGTATGGATTCCTCCCCAAAGTGTTTGGGAACTAAGCAGAAGGAATTTATAGAATCTGGCAACTTTGGTTAAGAACATTGTGATTTGCCCCTATTGCTTTAAATGTTCTTTCCTTATCAAGCATAGAAAAGTTCAGATTCACTCAAATATTTCTCTTTGTGTCAACTGTGAATGCTAAGAGATATGCTTCTTAGAGCAGAAACTGTAGTTTGTCTGTGTTCTCAACCATGCATTGATTATTTGAAAGTAATGGGCAATTGCCGAATCATAGCAGTGAAAACTATAAAATAAAGTTCAGGCTAACTTGGCAGCCTGGCCCAGTTGTTTTACAGAATAGTGGAGGATGCCTGTACAATTTAGGTGAAATGAAGTATAAACCTACTGTTGCTTCAGTAGAATCTCCATTTTTACTCACTTTAGGGTTTTCGAGTCCCTTATTTTTTATTTCTCCCAATTATTTGCTATAAAGCATCCAAAAGGACCATTTTAAGGAAAATTCTACTATTCCATTAATGTCATAAATTATTATTTTTTAATTAATATATTTTTAAAATAGTTCTCATGTTGCGCAGGCTGGTCTCAAACTCTTGAGCTCAAGAGATCCTTTAGCCTCAGCCTCCCGAAGTGCCGGGATTATAGGCGTGATCCACTGTGCCCAGCTAATTATTTTAAGTATATGAGCTTATTCATTGTTTATTGAGCTTTGGATGTAAAATTATTTTGAATAATTGTATAAAATTCATCTGATTTATTAACACATTATTCCATCAAGCAGCAAGCAGAGTTTATAATTAGAATAGGCAGTGTTTGAAAAAAATAGGGTAAAAATTCTTAAAGATGGAAAAGAGTATGTCACAGGAAGTATACAGCTGATCCCTGTTATTTCAACCTAAATTTTAGCATGTGTTTGCCAGCGTTTTTGTCAAACACCGTTTTTGAATGTCACTGCTGTGTTTGAGATGTAAGGTCTCCTTCATGTGTGCACATGAGTGTGTGCTCATCTGTCAATGTGTGTCGTCACGCTGTCCACTTCACCACCTTTTGCGTGATTCATTATAACCTATTTTCTGGCTATATTTCCAAAGATTCCACTTGGATATATTCCTAACCCAGTTATCTGAATGTTGCACAGATGTTTGTAAGGAAAAGACAACATAATACATAGTAGTTATGAAACTGAAAGCCTTGGAAATGTATTTTTTCTTCAAAGCAAATAGTCAGCTACCTGTAAACCATATACTTCTGCAAAATATAGCACCCCACCGGCCATCTCACACTTGAGTAAACTAGACAGATGCCCAGTGGAAGGGATGCCTGAAAAACAGAGATGAGAAGATGGCATGCAATGTTTTTTCCTGGCAAGTTACTTAGTAAACTTTCATATTAGGTTAGAATGATCTGCATATTTAATTCACTGCAATGAACATGGCCTCTTTATACATCTTATATGAGGTACATAGTGTTTTTTCTTAATATTCTTTCCTCCAGAAAAGTATGACATTTAAGTTGTATTCATAGTTTTAGAAACCTTAGAAGTCGTGGCTATTAACATGGAGACAGATACCTATTTAAAAGAGAGGAAGAACTTTTATAGAGAAAACACTGCATTAGTTAATTTATCTGATTTTGTGTATTTTTCCTTTAGTATTATTGTAGCTATGTCAGGACAGTATTTGTTGTTGTCGTTGTTGTCTTTTTATTTCTATCAGCTAGCACTTGGCTATCCATAGGAGCAGCTTGGTATAAATTTGTTAAAATAATTATCTGATGCTAGGGAATGGGATTAGTGGAGAAGAACAAGAACTAGTGTTTATTGAGCATCTTTTATGTCAGGTGTGTTAGGTATTTCACATATGCGCCTTATTCAGAGCAGTGTTTTTTGTGTGCATAATGGAAAGCAGGGTGGGTAGGTTGGCTTCTGTACTGGCACCTCCCATTCTAGAAACTCATCTAGGATCTTGTTATTCCACCGTCTGTCTCTCTTTCATGTGTCTTCTAACACTCATCTCAGTGATACAGCTGAGTCCTTGCTCAGCACTTACTGAATGCTTTTTTGTTTTTTATTTTTTTGGGACAGGGTCTTACTCTGTTGCCCAGGCTGGAGTGCAGTGGCATGATCTCAACTCACTGCAACCCTCTGCTTCCTGGGCTCAAGTGATCCTCCCACCTTTGCTTCCGGAGTAGCTGGGACTGCAGGTGTGTGCCCCCATGTCTGGCTAATTTTTGTATTATTTGTAGATACTGGGTTTTACCATGTTGCCCAGGCTGGTCTTGAACATTTGGACTTGAGCGATCTGACTGCCTTGGCCTCACAAAGTGCTGAGATTACAGGCATGAGCCACCGCACCCAGCCTGAATGCTTTTTCCAGCCTCTGGGTCTTTAGGCCAGTTTTATTGCAGCTTCTTCCTGTCATCATGAGGCAGGGGCTTAGGACAGGAGAGGACACCACAATACACAGAATCTGCTGAAGGGCTCAAAGCAAGAGCTCTGTGGGTTAACCTATGACTATATAACTAATCTTGGGGTGATGATGTAGTGGGCTACCTCTCATTGCTAACAACAGTGAAACATTCTAGGCCTCATTAATATGGAAAGATGGATGTTTGAGGTTTCCAAATTCTATACCCTAGAATAGCAGTTCTTATCCTGTATTGTGTTGTAGAGCATATTATGCTTTTAGTGTCTGTTATTGAGAAAATACTTAATGAAAAAATAAGAATCAGTATACTTTTATGTGAATTCATTAATTATAAAAGGCCAAGCAGTATTTCAGGTTGATTATGGATTGATAGGGAGAGACTCCAAAACACTCACTCCCACTGTAACATTCCCTTTTAATTAGCCAAGGATGCAGAATTGTAGCACAAGTGGATTCAGCAAATAGGGTAGAAGTGAATGCAGCCTATAATAACAAAACTTCCCCCTGGGTCCTATTTCCCTAATGGCCATATGCAGTTTTGTATATGTGTAGGCTGTTGCCACATCTGAAACTAAACATGTATTTTTGCTATACTATAGGCTTTTATACTTGGGTCTCATTCAGGAAAACTGAGTATCCGTGCTTCTCGTTTTAATAAAATTTTTCTAAACATGAAGATGCCCTAGTTCTTAAACCAAAATCAAGGTCAGCAATACTATATAATCAACTATGGGAAGGAAGTAGTTCTGTTCCCAGATGGGTACCTGAACGATATCTCTCTCCAACTTTCTAGAATTTTTAGAAAGCCTGTTTTCCTCCAGAGCCTACCCCTGATTCTGGTTTATACATTTCAATCCAATTCGTTCCAACAGGATTTTTGGTTGGAAGGCCAGAATTACATTTCACCATATATGCATTTCACTATATTGTGCCCCTTGGATGTAAGAGTGGTTGTCAGATAATTGTGTTTTTGTACTTAAGCAGCATTCAGCTAATTTATATCCGTGGTTAGGACTTTGCTTAGCTTTGCTTTATATTACTTGACTCTTTTAAACATCATCATGGTTTGTAGCCTTTTATGAGCCCATTTCATACCAGTTGACCAAAATTTTCTTCTTGATGTTCTTGCTCCACTTGGGCCTTTTGGAGCCTCTTCTAGGTGACACTTTATTTCTAATTTTAAACCACTTTTAAATGGTTTGACTGTGTCCCCACCCAAAATCTCATCTTGAATTATAACCCCCATGTGTCAAGGGCAGTCCAGGTATAGGTAATTGGATCATGGTGGCAGTTTGTCTCACAAGATCTGATGGCTTCATAAAGGGCTTTCCCTTTCACTCAGCACTCATTCTCTTTCCTGCTGTCCTGTGGGGAGGTGCCTTCTGCCTGAGGCCTCCCCAGCCATGTGGAACTGTGAGGCAATTAAACCTCTTTCCTTTGTAAATTACCTAGTCTCCAGAGGTTCTTTATAGCAGCATGAGAATGGACTAATCCACACTTGTAGACGTCTTTGAAACTACCTTTGTTTTTTCTCAGCGAGAAATGCCGGAGTTATCTTGGTTTCTATTGTACCAAACTTGGAATCAGTGATTCATCAAAGAGCCCTGGTTCTGTTTTATGGGAGCTCTACTAGAGAACAAATTTGCCATGAAAGGTGCACATTACCATGTTTTGTTTCATTTGAGTGCTGGCTAATTTAGTACTAGAGCCACTTTAGTGACAGAGCAGATGAATAGTATTTTTTTCAAATGGTTCAGGGTTCATGTTGATATGTCCAATTTACCTGGCTTTAATAAATTCATTTTTACATTGTTCTAACTTGAGGGCTTATTAATGCAATTTCTTCTTTCCTAAGTGATGCCTAAAGATTTGGACCTGTTTTTCTAAAATTCTCTTAACTCTTCCTGGGTTTGCATGGTTTAGCAGGTGGGAGTGAGGTATAGGTTGGGCCTACCACCTT